CGTAGCATTTGTATTACACCAAAAATTGCACATACCCTTTCTTCATCCCAATAGTCAATTTTAAAAAACTAATAATAATTAAATTTTCATCATAGATATGGTTAAAATGAGTATTTTCAACAATGAATCTAAACCATCCATTTGATCAATTTCAAGATCTAGAACTTTATGAACTCAAAACCATTTTTTTTCTTTTTCAACATTATTCATCTAGTGATAACAAAGCTATCCAAAAATTTTGAAAAGAGAAAAATCCTTCTAAAGCCTACATCTAAGCAACTTAACAAAATGGACAGCTTATGTTGATTGAATTAAAATAACACTTTCTAGGATGCATTTTCAAATTTTATTTTTTTGTGATTGTTCAATGGAATGAAAAGAGTGTACATTTAAAAATGGGTGCAGTTTGCATACGGATGCATCCGTAGGTGTAGAGGTAAGGTGCAACTTCAAATTTTATCATGGGATATAATTTTAATGTAAAATGTTCTTAGGATTATCTCAAAATCTATGTTTATATCTAATTCTAAAATTTTAAATTTCAAAAATGGTTATCAAGTAGATCTATAAACATGAAAATCTTAAAAATGGGTGGTGTAGATAATATATGGTAAAATGCATTATTTTTTAGACTTAAAATCTTTTTATTTTTCATAGTCACACATCTCGATGTTGAGATGATTAATCAATGGGTTTTTTAACATTAAAAGTACCTTTTCTGATGGATTTTTGAGGGGCATCTATAGTTCTACATTATAAAGTAGCATCCTTATATAAACTTTTTCTTTTAAAAATTGGCATCAAACAAAAGGCACTAAAATGTTTTTGAAGACTGTTGTATTCTATTACTATACAACTGTTACATGAAATCATTTTCCAAGATATATATAAAACTTTTTTTTTCGTTTTTTTTTTAGAGATAGCTTATCAATATATTGTTATCTTATATCCCAAGGGAAATTAAACTCACTAAATTCATATTAGTAAGGGGAAAATATTACCTTATAGTAGCAAAGTTTGCGTGCCTGCAACAGTAGGAGTGAAGTTCCTTCGTCTCGTCAAAAGTTTTTTATAACTCGACTTATCTTATCCCATATTTCACTCACAATTTTCCAACATGGTCATTAGCAAGGGCACAATATTACAGAAGGGGGTGCGAAAGTGACTAGACTATGGAGAATTCCGTGAATTCATAAAAGAACTGACGGATGTAAGATGCTAGGGGCCTTCTCAGGCTTGCACTCTTTGACGATCCAAAGGTTGTGGAAGTTGCATACCTCATTTCAAATTACAAGGTCATGTGACAATTATGTACATTCCATTAATGACTCGCATACCATAGTTTCCGATATAGCTGTTATCACCGAAAAACGGACCAGACTTTTAAAAAGGCCTTTTGCTAGCACTCATGCATATCTAACACGTACAAAAACATGAATTAAGAATCAAATTATCAAGCACCTTCAAGGTCCTCTCTCTCTCTCTGCAAGTGTTCTATAAAAAAAGATTAAAATAAACAATAGCACACTGAATAATGTACATTTGCTATGGAAAACTGAGCACTAAGATCGCAAAGCAAAAGGTATCATTTTAAGTGAAGGCCTGATGCCTTCACATAGAGCAGCACATTGCATTCATCACCCACTACAGCCAATATGCTTGAGCTCGTATCAGCAACAATAGAAGATACACCACCTGTACAAACAATTCCAAAGAGAGAGAGAGAGAGAGAGATTTACCATCAAAACTGTGTGAGAGAGATATACCATCAAAACTGTGTGTGAGAGAGATATTTACCATCAAAACTGTGCAGATTAGCTACTTTCCTCCCACTAGATAGTTCCCACATGTATACCAGTCCTTCATGAGTACCAATAATTCCATAACCCGCTAAAATAGCAGCTGCTTTAGCTCTGAATTTATCAACGAAGCATTCACAAAACTAGTCGACAAATAAAATAGAAATGACACTTCACGGAGGTTCAATTCTTACTTTTAATGCTATGCAACAATACATACAAGTAGTGCAAGACTGACAAAATTTGTTTAGAATCCCAAGAGCAATAGAGTAGATTTCTTTCAGTTCGAGTTCACAATCGACAATCAGCTTAATAGATTATCGTGACAAATGGATTATTTACCTTCCAGAGACAGCAGTTGAAACCAAGCTCATGGGTTCAATCATCAAGACCTAGTTGCACCCAAGTTCAGTTATTCGAAGAATGGCGGAATAAGGGAATGCAGATAAGCCTGGATGCTTGGACCCCTTTGCACAGTTGAACTACAAAGTCGAAAGCTAATCAATCCATAGACAGTAATATGAACCTGCTTGACTAATCATTCATCAAGTCAGTGAAATCGCCAATTAGTGGGGTGAATAAAAGAACAAGCTGTGGAAGCACAGGGTTTCAAATATTCAGATCTAGTTGAAGCAAGATGGGGGTCTAGCCTCTGCCCATGTTTAGTGACTCCCAACCAAAAAGTAAAAGATATCAAAGAACAAGCCATGTCATTTGTAAGACAAGAAAAAAAAATCAATCTTTTGTTTTGCAGTAACCAAAGAATAAATAATGATTAAATAATGGAAGTTTCTCTTTTGGTCTGTTCCCTCTCTTGATAGTCACAAAAGGGATTTGCCACCACATCAAATTAAGTTTTACTCAGTGTTAGGAACTCACCTTGGCCAAGGGACTCGGTCCTTGGCTGAGGCTAGTTACTTGGCCGAGTCCAAGTGGACTTGGTGAAGTCATGCACAGGGCCAAACACCCTAGATAAAACGAAAAAATAGGAAAATTTTCAAAAAAAAGTAAAAGAAAGGTAGTAAAAGTAAAAAAAAAAAACAAAAAACAAAAAAAATTAAAAAGTCCAAATAAGCCTTAAAAAGTATAGAAAAAATATTTTTTAAAAAAATTATTTATAGTTGGGGACATTTTAAGAAAATCCAAAAAGATAAGGAAAGTAAAAAAATAGGAAGTATGGAAAAAGCCACTCACCAAGCTTCATCAAAAACAGCCAAATAAATAATTCATAGAAAAATCCCATTTTCTTTTTTACAATTTTTTGATTTTTTTTTATGTACCCTGAGATGTACACAAAACTCGGGGTTATCCGAACTCACCCATAGGCGGACGCCGAGTTACGTGCCTGAGTCCAAATAGACTTGGGCGAGTCCCATAACACTGGTTTTACTTGTGCCCCAAGATTTTTGGACATGAATTACATCCTCCCCATATTGTAAATCATTTGTCAGCCATAATAATTGTCATCATTTGCCACTGGCAAAGCCAAAAATGCCATAGAAAGCATGGACATTTAATCCAACTCATATTTATTGTTGAGGGTAATTTACATCCAAAAACCTTGGTCAGGTGCATCTGACCAAAGCTACAAATAATGCAAATTTATGTCACCAAATCTCAATATTAAAAAACAGAGAGAGAGAGAGAGAGAGAGAGCACCTTGGATTCAATATGGTTCCCATAACAACAGCATTGTTTACCAGTAGAGCTAACCTCCAACACCCAAAATGATTTCCATCCGAATCTTCTGGTAATTGACTGAGTTGCTCCCCTGGATGTGAAGCTGTAGAGATAAGAAGCCAAACTGCTATTTCATTCCCCTCCAAATTAGACACAGAATAACCCCCCGAAATCCAATCCTCAGTTGCCATTATGGCCTCATCCCTGAGTTCGTCTTCCATTAAACCGGTTATCATTGGATCTCTCTTTTGTCTACTGAATAAACCTATGGGAAGAACATGATCAACGGAACATTCAAAACCAGAGAATCTTCCGAGGAGGACACGCCTTGAGATATCCCTGAAAGGAAACCAGTGGCAACACATTAGTTAGACTACCCAAATTTCATTCACAGTATCATATTTCCTTTTGCTTCGATATGCTGCACTAGCAAGAAAACATTACTAAATAAAAAACTATACAAAGAATGTTATAATGAAAAAAAGAATCCCACAAGGCCACACATATCTTGGAGGTCCCACTTCCCTAAACATTATCCATTTTATAGGCTTCCATGCATGAAAGAGAGCCATCTTCACATGTATGTGTGTGTGTGTGTGTGTGTCTGAGAGAGAGAGAGAGAGGTCATCGTAATATGCTCTTTTGCCATCTCCCATTCTCCTTCTAGATCCTCTATCCTTTAAGCTTTTTTTAGTTTGATACCCTGAAATATGCTCTTCTTAATATGAGTTAACCCCAACCATACTCACCCTAAATTACAGGATAATAGGTGAAAAGATTTAGACATTTTGTGTGACCCCAGATAAAAATCACATATAAGGAGGATGACTGAAAATTTTTCCAACAATTTGAAGTGACAAATAATATTATCATTATTGCAGAAAGCTAAAAAAGATAAAGAAATAGACATATTGTGGATGGTTCACAAAACATAAAGGAAAAAGCAGCAAGTCTTGGGTGGTTATCGACAGAGCTTGCAACATACCAGAAACCAAAGCCTCCATGACTGTTATGACCAATGACGAGATAAGAACACTGTGGTATTTTCCTCAATTCAATTATGGAAGCAGGAGTCTGATTGGAACTCGGCAATACAAATTCCTCCGCAATTGTACTGAATGCGTACATCAAAACAATAAGAACAAGAAAAGCCCAGAAAAACCTTTATGAACAGAAAACCAAGTTGAAAGCAATACAAGAACACAATAGGAAGAATAAAAACTTATGAACTCTACAGTCTATAAACACCATGTAAAGAATATTGAATATTGATAAAACTGGGTGAATGTGCAGTTCCAATATAGTTTAGAACTAAGATGCAGATAATGACACTTGAATAGTTTGTATGTTGAAACCTTTCTCAATTTAGGGAAGATACACTGCAAAAGATGACCTTCTACAATTTAAAGGCCATTACTGAAAGAAACTAAGTCCTCCCCATTTCTAGAGCAAAGGCAAAAGAAAAAAATCCAAAAAGCACCAAAAAGGGAGAAGAAAATAATAACAAAGAGAATGATAAAGAAACAAACAACCATTCTAAGAGAAAATTCACCTCCATGAAGAATTCATAAGCAAGACATGTAACCTCCCACTTGCTCCAGAAGCAACAAGAAAAGACGGTGCACAGACTAATATACAGTATGCAATCTCCATAGTTTTGACCTTAGTCAATGCTGAAACATAACCAAGCTTTACAGCAACTATCTTTACAGCATTTGGCTCACAAATTGAAGAGCACATAGAGCACAAACAATTGAGATCTTGCTCTCTAAAAACATAAATAGTTACAACTAGTAAGTACTAATCAGAAATTCAAGGTACATAAGGAAGACACTGAAAGAATTCCAAGATAAAATATCTTGCAATTAAATGAACAAATAAAAACCTGCAGGCAGGAGCCTGAATAGTGTCAAGCAAAACAAGAGCCTGACCATCAGGAGTAAGTTGTATCCAAGATCTCTCAGTTGCAATCTGGAAAATAGAATCAAGAAAAAAATTACAGCCCACACAATATCCAGCGGTGCTATATAACCACAACAAGAAATATGGAAGAGGTAATGACTCACTTTTATATCAAAGGGTTCTCCCTGCGAAGGTAATGAAATCATCGTGTAGCCTAGAAATGAAGGACAACTTTGATTCATTTCTCTGACTAGAACCTCATAAACAAAAATAGATCGCTCCCTTCTTTCCACAAGACCACATATAACACAAATATAGACAATATCCCCTTGAGTACTCATGAACAAGGAAAGGACAGGATTCGGATGTTCATAGCAGCCAATTAGCTCAATGAAAGGGTTGGATTTATCACAAGGCTTAGAGCATGGTAAAAATGATTTTTCTCGTTCTAAGTCAGTGCTAACTAGTTGTCCTTTCCAACCCAATGTACCAGCATCGGCACCAACAAACTTTGTTGGCCTAGATTTCTCAGAAATAGTTGATGCAGCAAGAGCTTCGTAGTCATGAAAGCATTGTATCTTTTGATCTTGAAGGTGCGATAAACCATCAATCCGACCTGAAAAGTTGCAGAAGTTATGGTTATGGCCGAAAAGACCATGGGCCTCTTTTCCAACTTGGAGATAGGTGTCAATAGAACAAGATGACAATATCTCTTTAGCAGCGGAGGCAACCAGTGTTTGATCTTCAGATTCCATAGTAGGCACTGCACATAATAGATCGTAAGAGTCACACACACTCTTTAAATCCTTGAGGCAAGGCTGGTCATGGAGATAGAGTTCACTGACTCCAGATGACTCATTACATACACCTCTATCTGCAACACCAGATTGATTGATTTCTCCAGAAACTGATGCATTGATAGCAGAAAGTTTCTTAAAGGAACCACCATCATGGATTATATCATTTATCTCTCCGGAATCAAAATTTGTAGAAGCACAAAGAAGTTCTCCTGCTAGGGGCAAAGATGAGATTTCTTCAACAGAATCAGCTACATTCTGTGGAACCTGATGACTAGGCAAAGAAGCAGCAGTCCCAGAATTGATTTTTCTATCATCAAGAGGCATAAAAGGCACTTGAACACCATTATTTGCAAACTTAAGTTCACAAGATGCAGTATCTTTTACTATGGAGGAAGGTCTTTGAATACCAGGTTGAGCTTGATTGCATAGAACATTAACAATTTGAAACTTTCCAACTGGAGAAGCATGTACAGTGGAATCTCCCTCTTGCATGTTCTCTGTTATTTCAATCACTGGTTTCATATCTCTTGCATCAGTATCCATTAGAGGGCATAATCCCAAGGATTCCTTAATCTTGCAACTGGATTTTTCAAGTGGTTTATCTGATTGATTCTTCTCAGGAATTTCCTCATTTTGAATATCACAAATTTGGGTATTCTGAATGTTATTATCCTTGCAAAGTGCTGACTCCTTGGATGGCATACCTCTTTCACAACCAGGTAAGATCATTAAGTCCATATCCATTGAGATTACAGAGGCAGAAAATGGCTGTTGAGAATCTTTGCCATCAGCGAAGCAGGCACCTTTAGCTTCTCTTCCTGAAAGAAAATGTACAACAGGCAATACCACCGAGGGAGCAGATAAACATTTGGGGCTGTTATTAGGAGGTTCCAGATACTCATTTAATGGTGCATCCATTCCACCATAGGAGGGTTCACTGTTTATTGGGTTTTCAGCATTCCGCTTAGGAACTTCTGATTCCTCAGATACATCATCATGCAATTTCAAATTATTGAGATCAGATGCAGTTGCAATAATAGGAGATTGATCAGAAGGTCCATCAAAATCCAAATGAGAAGCTTTCATGCCCTTTTTGCCCTTTAAACAATTTTCATCCTCAAAGCTACCTGCAACAACAGATTCATATTCTGAGGACTGTTTCCCCTCAGTAACCATCTTATTATTGTCAAGGGACATCATGTTTTTGCAGCCATTAGAAGGCACATCAACTTCAAATCCTTTAGAAGGTAAGTCCATCTCCATATGAGTCCTCACATCCTTGTTTTGAGTTTCATTTTCCTTTATTGATAATCCAGTAACAAAATCACCTGCACATCAGATTTACAGGGGATCAAACCAGTAGCATTTGTTTGGAGAAAGGAATTGAATACACATTTACAAAGCAACACTAATAGACCCAGTTTGGACCAGACCGAGTAAGTGCCAGTTTGATTACTTTAAATCAAGAACCAAGGCAAAACAGGTTTTTTGGTGACTTTAATAAAAAAATTGCAATGTTGTGCAGCAATTTTTAAATAAATCGGGTTCAGAAACTGAGTGGACCAAATGTCTGAGGAAGTGTTCAATGACTAGAATATTAGTCAGGAATAAAAGACTGGATTCACTTTGCCAAATGATCTATAATTACTCCATAGGGACCATCTGTTGAACCATGGAAGGTGATGGGGAGAGTGGATTGCACCAGAACTAAGATGACCCCAATGGTAAGTCCCAGTCTCTCTCCATCACTTTGATTATAATGAACCCATAGACTGTTTATCAATTTAATCATCATGATCGCAACGGTAGGTCCCAGTCTATCCATAGAATTATAGTACAATATCCCCAAAGAAACACACAAAAGGCCAGACCTTAACTCGTGGCCATAGCTTTAAGCAAATGCTTAGACATACCTTCACATTCAATGTCACTAGGGCGAGAATTCCCATTGGCCTCTAAAAGAAACTTCAATCCATCCTTATTTACATGAATTCCAGATTTAATTGATGAAGTATTCCTCTTCCATGTGTTAACCTTTTTCTTTCTCGAGTACTTCTGAAGTAAAGGGAGCACTTGTGGAAGAAGCACCATCATCATAGACTTCTCTAATTCTTGACCTGCTGAATCAAAATCACTCTTCTCTGAACTTGTATTTGGAGTACTGGAAAATGTGCCATTTTCCTCTCCTGAATTCAGTTCAGCTTTCAATTTTTCAGAAGAAACCACAACTTTCACAGGACTTGAAATCTTCTTTGTGACTGATATCAGAGGATCCAATTCCAAACTTTCCGAGCTACTGCAATTCCTGTTTACATCATCCTCATTTGTTCCCTCTTTAGATAAATTTTTGTAGAAAACACAAGAATCGTTAGGTTCTGGGGTAACCAGTAGTTGAAGGCCAACAACTCCCTCAGTGCCAAGTTTACACTTGTGGGTCTCTAATGCAGAATCAGCTACATTATCTGCATGAATCCAAAGTTCTTTACTGATAACTCAAGAAAATTGCATCAACTCACATAGCAGCAAGGAGCATTCTAATAAATGGGGCATGCATAATATGCACTCTGAAAAAATTGAGAGAATGATAAATTACCCTGTTGATAATCCAGTGTATCAGGCACATAAGCAGATATTGAGTTCAGCTCTACAACACCAACATCATAAGTTTCCGGGAGGGAATCTGATCCATCAACAGTATCTCTTGACCCATCGAACTTCCAGGAATGCTCTTTCAACGAGGCAGGGCAGGGATTGAGCTGTTGTTGTTCAACCCCAGGAATTTTATCCCCAATAAGCAATAAATCTTCGACCGTTATGATGATGCAACTTGGATGAGCAACATTTTATAAAGACAAAAGGTAAAAGAAAAGAAGAAAGAAGAGTATTATACGTTTCAATGCAAGAAACCATGTGGGCATTCATAAGCAAGACGAAGGAACATACAAGCAGCAGTAGCCCAACTTAGTACCATTTAGTTGCTCTTCTTATGGTAGAGTTCACACAACGGATGACATCTCCAAGAAGCACAAATGCACATACAGTTACATAATTCCCATTTCATTTCAGATATCCATTGAAGCATAATCTAATGAAACAGATGATGTCATGAAAAATGAGGAAGGGATGATGATGACAAATTAAGACCGATAATCCAAGAAAAAAAAGTGTTGAATAACTGAACAATCAAGTTCATTTCAACACACATTTCCATCAAACTGAATGGAAGAGAGATTGCCAACTAACCCAGGAAGTACATTACCTATTATTCAGGCATAACCTTTAAATCAAATGATCAGCTACATAGACCAAGACAACAGTGTTATGACACGATACTTCTTTGTTTGTGTATTTCCTGCAATTTTCTGAAAAAATAATTTATAATGATGGTGAATATAAGTTGTATTCCAATAAAAGGAAAAGCGAATGTATAGACAACTGAGACCCAATTAATTAAAGAGAATTTATCAAAATACCCATGAGAGATGCACTATTTAGCACTTCACATTTCTAATGTTATTCAAACTCATGATCATGTGCCTTTTTATGGGTATTTTGAAATTAAATCACACAATATGGGCAAAATGTTAAATAGTTCATCTCACATGGTTATTTCGATATTTTTCCTTAATTTTTTTGGGCAGTTAACTAAATCTCATTTTCTAAATAGTTGAGATTTAAATGATTCATTTTCTTTCGCAATGCCACAGTGGAAACTCAAAACCCTGTTTCAAGGTTTTCATCGTCACAAGATCTTATGAAGGAGGTTATGAGACCATATTGCTGCACTGTTAATTGTTGCTTTGTTGTTTGTTTACTGTACTGTGAACTTGTAGTAGGCTCTAACTTCTGAATTTTATATAGTAAATAGTAATATAATACAATCATCCTCATCAGAATTTTATATAATAAATAGTAATATTATACAATCATCCTCTTCATGACTAGTGGTAGTAATAGTTATTTGTCTACTATATAGACTTGTTTATCAATATAAATAGAATCTACATTTACCCACCATATAAACTTGTTTATAATTATAAATAGAATATATACACTTATATAACTACATTTACCTACCATATAAAGTTGTTTATCATTATAAATAGAATATACACACTTATATAACTGAGTGGGCGCATATTAGGTGATCTAGCGTGGCCACCTAAATTAGGTCGTTGAGCCCGCCTAAAACGTATATAGGGAAATTTTTTGGTCTGAAAATTATCGGCCATCTTTAGCCACCCCCAAGATCAGTTCCATTAAAAAGATTGCTTTGCGGGTCAAAAATTGCTCCAAATCAATTCTCCCTCAAAGGATAAATCTAAACCATCCATTTGAGGGATGATAGATTTAGGGTTTCAAGAGCTCATATTTTTCCTTTGAAATTATTCAAAACGAGAATCAAAGATGATCTGGAAATTTCAGATTCAAAAAATCTCTCTATGTTTTTGGAGGCTAGACACCTAATTATGTGGTCAAGCTAGACTATATAATATTTTTCCTAAATTAATATATTATCACATATATCCTATCTCACACATTAAGGTTATATCCCAATTAATATTTTTTGAGTTTTTAATTCTTTATTTCTTCTTCTGGATTCTTAGGAATGTGCCTTGCACTTTAGATTTTAGGCAGCCCCCAAAAATCATGAGGCCTTCTCCATGCTTTTTGTTACAATAATTCAAGTAATTTATAGATAAAAATATTCATGGATAAAATATACCAAGCTATGTCCAAAGACACCGAACCTTATATAAATTTAATGGTTTAACCAGAAAATCCTTTTACGATCATGTATACGTCTCACACTTCAAGAATTTAGTGTTAATTGTTCTACATAAAGTAAGCACGACTTCATAGTTACAAATACAAAATAAGAGTGACTGCACTGAAAAAATTATTACAAAATAAAACTCTACAAGTACATGCCTGATCTATATATTATTGGAACAAATGAAATAAATAAATAAATGATTCACATTGAATTCAATGAAAAATTAGTTAAAAACAATGAAAACATCAACTACTCTACGTAGACATTCTGAAAATGCTAAACATTAAAAAACACCTAATTGCTGACAAATTTTAAATTTTCTCAGACAAACTCAGGGTTAATTTCAGCATCAATAATTCTTTGTGTACTTCTAGGGAGATACCTCTTTCGCCAAGGAATCATCAGAAGGGTGGCATAAACTTTCCACAACTGGTTCCAGATTTCTCTCTCTCTCAACCACAGGAATCCACATTTGCAACTTTGGATCACTCGTGCCTTTTTGTCTGCAGTCTTCATCCATAGAAGTGACATCACAATACTCCCAATTAGTTTGATGCGATTCCTCATCCTTCCTCTCATCTAAACAGGATTGTCTCTCTTCAGTAGAGGCAGTGGCTTTTTCATCAACATTCACATTGTCATTTGACATATATCCATTTCCAGAAGGTGTTACTACCTCGGATCTATGTTTCTTAACTGGAACCACCCCATTGGCAATCTTTGTTGTACTTCTGTTTTTACTGCTTCTCTTTCCAGTACTCTGATGCTTTCTTGTGCTTACCACCAAATCTGGACATGAATGTGAGGTTTTAGAATGCACTTCGAGTTTTGAAGAATTACTGGGTGAACAAGGTGATACAGAACTCTGCTCTGCCACTCCATTAGCACTCGCCACAAGTTCACGAAGTAGCCGCTGAACAAGAGGGTTTCTGAAGCCAAAAAGCTGCATTTGAAACCATAGAGCATCACTCAGAGTTTTAAGTCATGATTCAGAGTAGTATTTTTATGGTCTTGCTTCTAGATCGGTGAGCAATTTGTGATATTTTGTAAATAGGCGGGATAGCAATATATGTTTAATGTAACATAAATAAAAAATCAACAATATGTCCTCTATTGATTTAAACACAATTAAGTTCGAGTAGATACATTTCGGAGGAACATCTCCACCAGAAGTGCCACCAAACCTTATTATAGAAAAAGGAAAGGAAGCTTGGTTAGAGTTTTTAAACAAATTTCAAGCATTCAAACCCTTGAACCCCCACACCCAAACTGGGGTATCTACCACTAAGCCAAAGCCTAAGGGAATAATCTTATTATTCAGCATCCTATTAAGTATTAAATGACATAAACATCATAATTAACCATACATGTTGCCAGAACCAAGAAGAGCTTAGTCGACTTGAAAAACAGAAGATAATATGCACAGCAGTTATATAACAAGTATTAAAGATAAGGTACTTGGGAATTGAGTATGAAAAGGCAGGCCAATTTCTATCTAATACTAGGTTACATATAAATTGATGTCACATTATCCTTCCAGTAGATCATTGAATTTTGCAATGTGCAACAGTTCCAACAATTCTTCAACAATGAAGACTGAAAAGAAATTAGCACCACTCAAGTCTTTTATCTATAATATTTTACGATTACCAATGAAAAGTGTAATTCCCACAAACATTTTGGAAGTTGAACTGCATATAACCTTATTTATATTATGAACAGACCAATTTATATCTAATACTAGGTTTCACATAAATTGATTTCTCACATTATCCTTCCAGTAGATCATTGTACGCTGCAATGTGCAACAGTTCCAACAATCCTTCAATAATGAGAATTGAAAAAAAATTATCACCTCTCGAGTCTTTTATCTATAATATATTATGATTACCAATGAAAAGTGTAACTCCCACAAACATTTAGGAAGTTGAACTTATAAAGTTATTTATATTATGAACAGAATGCTCTTGCACACATTACCTTTATTCATCAGTAAAGAAGTTTCAGTTGGATTACATATTTTGAATTAATTTACAAAAATTTAGAGTGGAGTGCTGCAATATCAGTTATGGTGAATAGTTAGAGGGCTGTAAGTAACAAAAGCATAAGATCATTCTTTGATTGGTGAAAAACATACCAACAAAACTTCAGAAAAAAAAAATTTAAATGACGATACATAATATACGAAAAGAATGACACATGAAGTAGCAGTGTTACTAATGTTCCCCCACATGACAGAAGTATGAAGTAGTTCAAATACTATCACAACTTATCAGATTAGTGGACCTTCAGGGACAAAACCACCTCTTTTGATAGTAAGGCACATGGGTGCTTTACAAAAATATTGAGCTCCTCCGTACAGCATGGGTTTCTGATGAATAAACAATTTAGAATATGCAAAGTCTATATTCACAATGATCTGAACACTGAAATGCTCTAAGGTTTTAAACTTAAAGCTACCAAGGGAAATATGGCATGATATATTAAAAGCAGAAACTTAGATGCGTTACTTGAAACGCTAAAGATTGATCAACAAACAAATTTCCGCAGCAGCTTAGATGCGTTACATGAAACTCTAAAGATTGATCAACAAACAAATTTCCACAAATACAACACAAAGATAACGACATCAAAACATCCAACCTACAAAAAGGCTTATAAAATTTTCAAAGCTTTAGATGTGAATTAAATACTAAAAATGGCCTAATTTAAAATACCACCTGAACCCCATCGATTTTGCAAGAGAATCTTTTCCCATGCCACATCTTCACTCGAGTACTGCATTTCTTCTGAAAATTCTCCCAAGCAATATCCGGGGTTTCACCAGTGCCAGAATTCCCATCATCAGAAGAAACCTTGAAATCAAATTTCACCATTGATAATAAGATATTATTCACAGCAGTTAATAACAACTCATTTTGAGTCAGGAAAATTTGCCCAAGTCACTCAAGTCGTTGAGTGGGCAAGTTTTATAAATGAAAAACTCAGGATATGCCCCAGTTTTTCCTTTTATATAATTTTTTTATGTTAATTTGACTAAACTATGGTTTATTCCAATGCAGTGGCATTATGGAATAACTTTCGTGATGAGCTGTGTTCGAACCCACTAAAGACCCCTCATTTTTCCTTTCTAGAATTCTTTACACAACTGAAAAACTTTCTGAGTTTTTGGCTGGTGACTGGGTCAGCCACTGAGTTTAGAGTTTCTCAACACTAATTTGGAAAGTTTTTTCTCTGTTTCTCTTATTTCAGTGTTCATTATTAGCAGAAGCAATCAAAAGCTCCCAAGAGATAAACTGTCTTCACTCAATATAGTGAACTCTACCAAATTATGTGCCCAGTAATCTGATATCCTAAGAATGATACAAAAAGTAAAGAATTATAACCGTAGTATGAACTTACCACAAATAAAGGCCCTTTTGGACCTTCATTAATCTCCATCTTATATCTATCCCCGCCATGAATGCGAACAGCATGATAACCAATTGGATATGGATAGCGATCCTTTCCCTGCACAGTTCATGCAATTAATTAAGCTGATACCAGTGTTTCGAGACTTGCTCGAGGCCACTCGGACTCGATTGAGTTACTTGGCCTTGCCCTAAGGGCGAGGTGAGTTTTATCTGAGTAGGCTATACTGATTTTTAGATGGTAAATATATATTATGTTGTCAACTATACATAGTAAATGCTTGAGTGGCTTGGATAGTGTACGCGCATTCTTTTCAAAGCGACTGGGGTTCGATTCCTCCCAAGTAAGACTTTGTTTTTACTTTTCTTTTTTTTAGGGTTAAAGAATAGGAGCTTGAAAAAAAAACAACTCTCAATGGGAATGGAACCCATGAGCAAAAAAAACAGCAGCGCTCATGGGAATTGAACCCATGAGCTCTTAAAATGAAGCGTATGAAGGTGGGCGACACAACCAGTATGACATCCAACATCTAATGTTAAAGTCGCGCAGGTTATAGTATTTATTGTATACTTCCTTTTTTTAAAAAAGTGCACTGCAGTAGGACGAGTTACTCGGGACTCGCCGCCCAAGTAATTCGCCTCGGCCAAGGCCCAAGCATCTTAGCCAAGTCGATTTTATGAACACCGGCTGATACAAAGCTCATTGATAATGGAGAAAAACACATTGTAGTTCTTCAAAAGCAGTGGAATCTTGAGATTTAAATGTATGATTAAATATAATGGAAAAGAATTGAGAAAACAAATTGTAGCAACATGAATTAGGATTCAAATCATAACCACGAACAACTCATAATTGGAGAAAAACTTAAATATTATTAGTCATATGAAGTTACCTGCAACTAACAGATATCAGAAGACGAATAACAAAATATAACAAAAAAGCAAAGTGCCGGGACTCGCCTCGGCCATACTCGGCCAAGTCCTGAGTCATGCTCAAGGCCAAAAGGGTCTAAATAAATTTTAAAAAGGAAAATTTTGAAAAAATAAAAAGGTAGTAAAATTAAAATAAGTCCAAAAACAACTTTAAAAAGTTCATGTAAGCTTAAAAAAGCAGAGAAAAAATGGATTTAGAAAAAATAAATTTACAGTTTGGAAGCTGAAAAAAATTTCAAAATATGAAAAATATAAAAACAGGGATTATGGCAATAAACACGCACCAATACATGCCAAAAATATCCAAATCACATAAAAAAATTATATAACATTTCTAATTTTTTACAATTTTTTTAAAAAAATTATACAGCCCGAGTTGTCCACAAAACTCGGGGTTAATGGCAAGCCCGAGTTACTTGCTCAGGCGAATCCTTTCACACCGTGAAAAACAAAACACCAAGAGACTGTCTCCATGAAAATAGATATATCAGCCATGCAACCTCAAACAGAAGGAATATTCATGAGGGCTTTGATCATGACCATAAACGTCTAGTAATCAGAAAAATGCACAGTAAATTTCAAAATCCGAACGAATCCTCTGAAAACAAGGTAACGTCACATAAATGAATCAAACAACATTGAAACAAGAGAAAACACAAAAAACGAATGAGAAAACATCTGCACGAAAAAACACAAAACCCTGAGCATCATAGGCCATAAATGCAGCCACAAACTAAAATTGAATATCCTATGAAATTCTCTGAAAACAGGCTACAATCATATAAATCAACCAAGATCATGAAAACAAGAAACAACACAGAAAATGAACAAGAAAACACCGCCACTAAAATAGTTTCTTCGAGATTAAAACGGCATCAGAAAGAGTAACTATGGTTTCATTGAATTAGAGTACCAATGAGCAAGAATCATACTCGCGAGCAGCTCCAGTACTTTTTGTCCCAAGAACCTCGGTGGAGTACTCCAACGGAGGCTATTTCCAGGCCATCAGGCTTTCCACTAGTAGAAAACTCCATTAAAGGACAGAAATAACAGAAATATAAGAGAATCCCTGGCAAATGAAGATCAATTCTCTTCTAAAAGCTTGCATAAATGGCCAAAAAAGGCAAAAATGGAGGGCAAGATGGAGGAACCTTCCACAAAAGGAAAGAAACAACAAAGAAAGCTGGCCAAAACCCTAGAAAACGTATAGCATTTATCTAGTAGAGAAGCTACCAAAAATGGCAAAAAATGGTGGAAAACCCTAACTCAAGAAAAATGGAGGGAGTGGGAAATGAGAATGGCGCAGCGTTCGTATTGGCGCCAAGGCCTTTTACAGAAAAAGGCGGGATCGTATCTCACGCATGTGGAAACGTTACACGTATGACGTTTTTGGATTCAGGTATAGACCAAATAATTTCCACGTGCGAAATTTAACTTGTTAATATAAAAAATAGACCAAATAATTTCCACGCGCGAAATTTAACTGTTAATATAAAAAATAAAAAGAAATTAATGACGCCGTCGCCGGGGATCGAACCCGGATCACCCGCGTGACAGACGGGAATACTCACCACTATACTTCAACGACGTAATTTTATAGGACGCAATAAACATTATTTACTTACCTTTTATTCCGACCCTTACTAACTTCATTGGTCTCCACTCTCTCGCTAACGTCTCTCCTTCACCGTGGGCTTGGCCGGCCCCTTAAAACGAAGGCATGCGCCGCAAATGGTGGCTTGAAGTCTAGGCCATCATGGCTCAAGCTCCAAACTAGGTTGATCCTAGGCTATGGTCAAACTGGCCTTATACTAGGGCGGGCCTTTTTTTTATCAACCCTACTCGATCACTTGAATACTCTCCCTCCCTCTCTCATGAATACTTCCAAGGAGGAATGAGAATTAGAAGACTCGAGTTTATTGGGCTCTTCTTTCTAAATAGTGGTGGAGAGTTATCCAAGGTTCAAAGCAACTTTGGAAAAAAGGTTTTGGCAGCAAAACATGGTTATGTTCATATATCACACATGATTAAGAAGGTAAAAGGAGGTAAATATGTTTCCCAAATGTGAAATGGAATCTACATATTTGGTAAATATGTTACCCAAATATGTTCCCCTTAAGGTCCAAGCTTTCTTTTGGGTTTCCCTACAAGATAAATGTGTAATTGTCGATAACCTGCGTAAGAGGGGCAAAGTCCTACTACCCAGCATGTGCTTGATGTGCAAACTGGCAGAAGAGACTAGTTGTCATCCTTTCTTATTTGCTACACATGATTGGGCTTGGGCTTTTAGGATGTTGAGTTTTTCACTTATGCTCATAGAGAACCATATCAATGTCATTAACCTTGAATCTAATCAGGCTACCATTTGAAGGAAATTCAATTTGGAAGATTTTTAAAGATACTATTCTTTGGAAAATTTGGCTCGAGCATATAGGAGAACATTTGAGGGTGTCGCTTTGGACAAGGACAGTACCAAGGACAAAAATTTCTAAACATTATTGAATTGGTATTCTACTACCAAAGAAAACAAGGGAGTATGTAGGGTGCATATCTTTGTCAACTTAAAAAGTCAAGCTTTTAGTGTTGTCCCTAAAATTAGACTTGGTGGTACCTGGAAACCTCCCCCAGAGGATTCCTTTAAACTTAACTTTGATTGAAACTCTTTCGGGAATCTGGGGGTGGTTAAACCAGAGGGTGTTCTGAGAAATCATGAAGGCAACACCTTATTTTCTTACACTGGTCTTTGCGGGACTGTAATGGGTAATCATGTTGAGATTTGCTCTCTTGGAAGCATTAGATATTATTCTTAACAAAGGTATTGTCGGTGCTATCTTAGTTAAAGGAGATTCCCTCAATGTAATTAAATGGTGCAATTTGGAGCAAAAGGTTCATTGGTCTCTTCGTACCTTTTGGTTGAAAATCTTTGATATTTGTGCTAATGCTGGTTTGTAAATATCCTCGGCATATGTTGATAGAGAGGCTAATGGCCTAAGTGATCGGCTTGCACCATATTATTTTTAGCAAAAGTATGTGGGAGTTATCTTGAATAAAAGGAGATTCCCTCTATGTCACTGAATGGTGCAATTTGGAACAAAAGGTTCATTGGTCTCTCATACCTTCCAATTGAAAATCTTTGATATTTGTGCTAATGTTGGTTTGCAAATGTCCTCTGCACATATTTATCGAGAGGCTAATGATGTAACAGGCTGGCTTGTTAAACTTGGGAGTTCTTTGTCATCTTTGCATGTTTTAGATATATTGATTTCTACTATCTAATTTGATGTTATTGAAGCAGCTATTAATAAAAGTTATTTAGCTTGTAAAAAAAAGAAGAAGAGAAAAGTAATTATAAACTAAAAAATCATTTACATTTAATACAAGACAGTCACAGTTATCCTTTTTCGCAAATGTGAAAGTTGAGTGTGCCAAAAAAGATAAATTTTTCGTTGTTTTGAGCCTATTCAACATCATATTCCAAGCAAATCAATTTCATAGCTATTGATTAAAAGTAACGATGACCATCGTGTAATAGAGGTAAATTGCTTATGATATACTTCGTCATAAAAAATGTTGAAAACGTGTTGTAACATCATTGCCAACCTATTCTACCATGGTTTCCGCGTTGGTCGTTTTTATTTTTGGGAGGTTAACATATATCACGGGGATATGATAGACTTTTATAAGATGTAACTGTTGCTCCCTTCTTCTATAAATTATCTGTCTTGAGTGTTGTATTTTTCGATGACAGAATAAAGGATATAGTGCTCACCGTGGACTTAGGTCATTGCCGAAGTACGTAAACCTTGTCTCTGTGCAAATGGTTTTCTATTTTTCTAACATAGTATCAGAGCAGGTTTCACTCTATTAATTGTCAAAAAGTTTATTTTCGGTGAGCTCCTATCAACCTCCTCGCTGGAAAATTTTATTTATGGCTCATTATTTCTCTCTCTCTCTCTCTCTCTCGATCTTTGAGTGGGTTTCGTAATTTTTGGCAAAATTTTAGCTGATGAGACCCGATAGCTATGGATCGGCAATATTTAAGGCCTTTTATTTTTCTCTCATGCTTCCAACGTTGGGAATGATTGTGATCGGCAATCGGTGACCGAAAAATATCAATGCTATCATCGCAAGGCTTCCCCTCTAAGAGACCTTTTAGAGAGAGAACATGTTGAATTGCCTGATACTTGTTCCACGCATATCTTAAAAAGAAATCCGCAAAATAAGACGAAAAGACAGTGATAGTCTTCACGAGTGAGCTACGAGATGTCCCCCTCCGTGAGCTCTTTCTAGGGCTTGTCTAATATTTGATCGCACAGAGCCATCACTATGCCGAAAAATATCACCAGAAAATATTCTAGAGAGAGAAAAGAGTATTAGAAGTCAATCAAGTGGCCCTGCAACTTTTTTGAAGTCAATCAAACAGAGGAGGCGAGGGATGGACTTTCTCTCTCTAGCATTTTGTGAAGTATGTGGTAGCTTTTCTGTGATGTCTGTCATTATCAAGTAAGTTTGTTTCTACTCTTTTACAAAAGGTGAAGAGGTGGTCCTTAAGACCATATTATTTCAAGGATGATGTACCTTCCATCGATTGTCAGCTTCCTTCTTTTTGGGATTGGTCTTCTTGTTTTTTGTTCTGTATTTTTTTTTTGTTCAGTTATTTACATCATGGAAGATATTGTGAATATGACCAATAATCCTGAACCTAAAACTATTATCTATGAAAAAGAGTCAAATACTAGTGATAAATTAATTAGTATCCCTTTAAATGACTCAATTATTTAAGTTGGTCAAAAGTTGTCTCGCTGTCTTTGAGCAGGCGATCCAAGTTAGGATACATCAATGGAAAGAAAATAGCTCCTACTATTGATTATCCCCTATATGAAGATTGGCAATCCAATGACCACAAGGTCATGTCTTGGATTTTAAATTTCATGGAACCAAAGGTGGCCGAGATCTTTACTTCGGCAGACACTGCCGAAGAATTGTGGGATTCGATAAAAGAAAGGGAAAGAAAACAATATTTCTCGTGTTTATGAGTTAAAGCAAAAAATTTCTAAAATCAAACAAGGAGATGAAACTATTACTGAATGTCTTGCTCTATTCAAAATATTATGGGATAGATTAATTTTTTATTCACCTATAACAACTGACGAGAAGATCATTTAAAAGCATGTTGAACAAGACAAATTTTTTTTATTCATTACTGGTTTGAAACCTGAGTATGATAATCTTAGAAGTCAGATTTTGATAACTACTGAACTCCCAACATTTACAAATATTTGTTCTACTATTCATCGGGAACAGACCCGGAAAAAGGTTATGAATGTTGAACAAAGTTTGAATATGAAATAAGTGAAAAATCAGTATTTGTTAATGCTAAGGAGAATACTGAGAAGCAAAAGGATAATGTGTTTGAAAAAAGAGGATATCGTAGAGCTAGGGGTCGTAGAAGGGGTTGTGGTAATAGATCTCCTCTACGTTATGATCATTGTAAAGGAATTGGTCATCTTCTCATAGATGTTAGGAAAAGTACCCTCACTTAAGACCCAATAGAAATCGAATGGGTGAACCTTCATATGCTCAGACTGCCGATATTCAAATTTCTATGGATAAACTGGCTCAATTCTTTCAACAATTTTCAAAAAATGGCTCTTCTTTCACACAGGATCTTCTCATGAGTCAGGTAACTATTACACTCTCCAATCTCTTTTTCCCTCTGATAATAATATTTGGATTATTGATTCATGGGCTACAGATTATATGAATAGAAATAAGAATTCTTTAATGATTTATCAAGATGTGTTTGATAAAGCTCTTGTATCAATTGCAAATGGTTCACTCATTCCCGTTAAAGGAATAGGTAGAACTAAGTTTTTTTAAAAAATATGCCAATTCTGATGTTCTCTTCATGCCCTTATTCCCTTCAAACATTATTTCCACCAGTAAACTAACTCAAAGCTTGATCTGCAATGTTATTTTTTCTCTTTATACTATTTCCTTTCAAGATAGGGTCGCGGGGAAGATGATTGGTGAAGGGAGATTTTCTCGAGGACTTTATTATATTGATAAGAAGATTAAGGCTTTGGTTGCCGATCGTGGAGACTTGAGCAACATTTGGCATTCCAGACTTGGTCATCCTGCCAATAAATCTTTATTTTATTCAAAACCTGAATTATCTATTGACTCTTATAATTGTGATGTGTGTCATTTGTCAAAACATTCAAGACTTCCCTTGCAGTCTTCAAGGATAAGGCTGAATTTTTTTCTTGACTTGATTCATTCTGATGTGTGGCAGACCTGCTTCGGTTGAGTCCTAGAATGGACTGAGGTATTTTCTGCTTTCAATTGATGATTTCTCTAGGATGACCTGGATATATTTGCTTAATGGAGTCGAATATACAAATAAATTTTTTTCTGAATATCTCGTGGATCAAGGCATTATACATCAGACATCTTGTGTCTCTACTCACCAACAGAATGAGGTATGTCCCTAAATTTTTTTGGTCCGAAGTTATCCTTACTGCCTGTTATTTGATTAATAGACTACCAAGCAAGATCCTTAGGAATAAGGCTCTTATTGAAATTCTA